CATGTAGCATTAATCCATCAAATTATGGTTTATTAAATAATGGTTTATTAATGATCAGACCATAAACCATCAACTTTTCCGTGTACATTCTTGGCATCTGCCAGGCTTTCTATCCACCTGACTCATGTAGGAAATAAACTAATTTTTAAAATGGGAAGTTGGCACACTGTGAAACAAAATGCTAGTTTCTAACATAATTTCCACTTCCAAGATAGCCTCTGGAACCCACACAGACCCATGACTTCCTTGGAGATAAAAATGATGGTCAGCTGTAGTCATTGTACTTATCAAGGGAAGAAGGAATAACCTTGAGGAACAGGAGGAAGAGCTGCAACCAAGACAATAGCCAGATAAAAGAAATCTGAGTCTGGGCCAAAATTGTAACCCGAGAAAGCATCTCAGACAAGAACCTCCCTAATTCTCACAAAGATAAAGACTTGAGAGATTCTGTTACTATAAACCTATAATAAAAGTAGTATTAGCATGCATGACTTTGGTTTCCTAGTTTTGAAGGACTGACAGTACTTTGCTTGGAAGTATGCCCACTTGCCCAAAAAGGGTAAACAGGAGTAGAGTATAAAGCATCTTTCTGTGGAGTAAGCTATAAACCAGATAGGATTCTAATAAAATATACCAAGTATGGGCAAAATATTCTGTTCTCAAAATGAAATAGTAGGGAGAAAAACAGAACATTCCCTTGGTGCCAATCCATATCTGGATCATCATGAAACACTTCCTGTTCTGAAAGATGTACTTCCAGAAGACTTGTGGTTGGTTGCTTGATTACGTGCCATCAAGTCAGTGACAACTCTTAGCAATCACATAGATTTTCTCCATGACAATCTGTCCTTAACCTGATCCCTTCACGTTTTTCAACAGTGCACCCATCACCACTGTAACTGAGTTCATCCACCTTGCTGCTAGTCTTTCTTCTTCCACCTTTCCCAGCATTAGAGCCTTCTCCAGAGAGCTAGGTCTTTGCATAATGTGCCAGAAGTATGATAATTTGAGCCTAGTAATTTGTGCCTTGAGTGAGAACTCAGGGTTGATTTGATGATCCATTTGTTTGTATTCTTGGCTGTTCTTGGTATTCTCAGAAGTCTTTTCCAACACTAAAGTTCAAAAGTGTCATTGCTCTTTCTATCCTGCTTCTTCAAAGTCCAACTTTTGCTTCCATATAGTGTTATAGAGAATACTATTGCTTGTACGATTATGATTCTGTAGGTATAGGCACATCACAACATCTGAATATCTTTTTCAAGGCCTTCATGGCTGCTCTACCGAGTGCTACTCTGCGGTTATTTCTTGACTGCTTGTTCCTTTATTACTGATGGTTGATCCTAAAAGGCAGAAGCTGTCTACCACTTTGATATCTTAATTGTCAATTCTAAGGCTGGTTGTTGTGCCTGTTGTCATTAGTTTGGTCTTCTTTATATTTATCTCCATTTTTCACTGTGCTCCTTGACTTTTATTATTAAAGCTTAGAGATCCTTTGCATCTCTAAAATGATAATGAGTAGTGTCGTCAGCATAGAGTAGATTACTGATGTTTCTTCCTCCAATTTTAAAAATGCACTCATGTACTTTCAATCCACCTTCCCTTAATTCAGCACATAGGTTGAATAAATAAGGAGAGAGTATACAGCCTTGTCTCACTCGTTTGCCAAACTGGAGCTGGTCTGTTTTGCCATGTTCTATCTGTATTGTGGCTTCCTGACCTGTGTATAGGTTTTACACGAGAACAATGTTCCAGGATTTCCATTTTTCTAAGTATATTCTACAGTTTGACATGATTGACACAACTGAAGGTTTTTCTGTAATTAATGAAGCACATACTGACTTCTTTTTGGTATTCTTTGGCTTTCTCAATTATCCAATGTGTATCAGCAATAATGTTCCTCAGTCTTTTCTAAAACTGTCTTGGACATTTGGCATCTCTTTTTCTGTGTGGGGCTCTAACTTAAACATTATTTTGCTAGTATGTGAGGAGACTGGTGGACCACTCCCAAAATAGCTGGATCAATAACATCTGGAAGGAGGACAATGTTCTGAAATTTCCCCAAAAAATTCATCTCTGGAACCAAGTGTTTTGCAATCCGCACAACAATTATAATCCAATGGCTGCTTTTTTGTAAAGGCGAAAGCCATTTTGTAAGTGTTCCAACAGTATATTCACAACATTTTGAGCCATAGGCCCCAAAAGAGGGGCAATTTCTATGTTAAGATTTTAACTGTAGTTTTTTGGGTTTCGCTTAGCTGCTTGTGTTAATCCAATTAATTAATTTTGTTAATTAATTTGTTGAGAGGAAAAATAAGACATTGTACAGGCCAGGTAGAGAAGATTGCTTCTTAGCAAACAAAGTTGGAAGTGGCATAAGAAACAGGATGATATGAAATAAAGCTGTGAAACAAAAAAAAAAAAACCCTAAAAAAAAGACAACTAAACTGGAATTCTGAAACCAGAATGCAAGAATTACATTAGATTATTGAGAAACGGGTCCCATGTAAAATAAAGAAGCTGACAGAATTAAAAGATAAAAGAATGGACACAGGTAAGAGAAACCTCAGGACCTGACATCAGTGCACATCATGAACATTTTGCACTGTGAATATAATCTAGAAGACAAACTAGGTTCACATAGAACATTAAGACCAAACCAATCAAACGATATTTTAATTTAGGTGCACTACAGGAACCAGGTAAGGAATTGCAATCCTCTCCAAAAGGGAAAAGGAGAAGGGCATTTCCAATTGATTCTTTGCACTGGCTCAGAATCAACTCTGAGTCTCTGCCCTCCCATGACATTACTGGTAATATTCAAGAGATTCAATCTTTTTTTTCCATGGCTCTTTACTGGTTTATCTGAGACTGCAACAAAGCTCTTTCCTCCTTTTGCATAACTGTAGCTTGTGGGTGATTTGTTTCTAGTTGGCAGGAACTCTTGCTTTCCTCCTGTCTCTACATTTCAGTGTCCTGTCCCTGGTGTCCATCTGTAAGTATTTACATGAATATCTCCTCTTCTCCACTCCAGTCACAATGTACAGCCATGATGAAAGGCACTGGGGAAAGTACATGGTTGCAAAAACCTCAGTGTATTATCCATTCTCTTTTCACCTTCACAGCTTGGAAGAGGATTTTAAATTAGGGAGGAAAGGCAGGTTTGCGCTAGAAAGCCTTTCCTCAATGAACTGCTTTTTCTTCCTTTGAGACATAATCAAATTCAAAATGAATTGAAAATGCAAAGAGGGATCTGGAGTACCGTGGGTGGGGACAGGGGAGTGAGATACTAATGACTTTTTTACATTCCCCTATTGGTCAACAAAAGGTGGGTACTGGGTGGCTCAGAATGTTCTCTCATATTTTCAGCATTTTAAGAATGAAAGAAGTGAAGATGAATGCAGATTGGGCTTGAGAGAAACAACAGGGTTGAAAGCTCCTGAAAGAGAAACCAGTACTGTAATTTAGACACAATGGAACAAGAATGCCGCAACTGCACTCTAATGCTTAGACCTCTGATCCAGATGAGATCATATTCAGAATACACTGGACATAATGCAGGTGAATGATTTGAATGGCCAAAAGATATTTTGAGATGCAGAGACTATAATATTCACATAGTCAAAAATAAACCTCATACTAAATCAGTTTGTTACCAAAACAAGAAATGGACAGAAACAGTATCTCTACTCAAAGACATTCATTTCTAGCCCTTTAGGTAGAGTAGGCAAGAGAAAAGGGCAGAAGAAACTGGACACTGATTGTAGTATAAATAAAGCTACCATTTGATTCACTAGTGATGTGAATTCTTTCATAATGGCATCATAGTTCTGCTAAATAACTCTGCTTACCTGAGCCTTTGTGTCTTGGGAAATAATTTATTGCAGTGTATGCCTTGCCAGCCGAGAAATGATTGACATTTACTTACAGTACTTGCTTCTTTCTATTGTGTTCAATATTGCCTTGGTGTCTCAGGGTTGATGGTGCCTTTTAAGTACAGAAAACTTTCAGCCAGGTAAAATGCATCTGCTAGATATGTATGCTGTAAGGAGCTCCACACTATGAGTTGCAACATCTCAGATGCTTAAGCTTGTTACATGGTATTATCATGCACTACATATTCTTGTTCAACAACAATTCTTACTATATTGAATTATTTGAAAGAACTTAAATGGTTGGTTCCATGCTTAATTTTAGATACAGAATTATATAACTTTCACTTTATGTATAGCATTATGTAAAGTTCAATCACTTTTCTGATTGATGTCTTTCAAATTTTCTATAAGGAATTGGAAAGCAGTAACCAACTGCTTTCCAATTTCCAAGTATTGTCCTCAGTTATGCACTGTGTTTCTTGGGAGTAAATTGTATTCCTTATGCTACCCTTTCTTTAAAACCAAACCCAAATACACAAAACCTCGTAGATGGTTTGCATTAGCTTCCAACTTGCTTGGAGAACAAACCCTTTAACCTGGAAGACCCTCCTCAGATCCTTTATGGGTTGGAGTGGATTGGAGTTATTCGGGGATGAGAATAGAAAGAAACCGGCCCAAGTCCTTCGGCGTTTTTCACAGTTCGGCCGGCAAAGGCTTAAACCTTGAGTTATTGGGAGCTTCTCTGGGGATGTTGATGTTCTCGCTGAGGGGGCGTTTGGGCTTCCGATAGCCCGCTCCAGGAGCACAAAACCATGCCGCCGCCGCCGCCCCTTTGGCTTTATGACTGCGAGGGGTGGAAAAGGGTCGGGCCGCATTCCTGCATCCTCCCGACCCAGCCGGACGGAACTGCTCTCTCGCCATCTTTCCTGAAGCCATTTCAGACGACGACCCACCGCTTCCGCCACCTCCGCGGCCGGCGGGGAGCGCCTCACGAGCGCTCTGCGGGGTTGGCACGAGCAACTCGCCCCAGCTCTCCCTCCCGGCCCGTCCGCCCTCCGGGATCGTGGATTGGCTAGGCGGCCGCCTTGTCCCAGAATGCAGTGCATGGCGCGTCATTGAAGAGAGACCATGATGGCGGCGACCGCGGCGGCGGGGGGAGCCTCTGAGGTGATCGCCCAGCTGGAGAACGCGGCCAAAGTGCTGATGGTGAGGGCTCCGCGTGGGACTGTGGGCCGGCGGGGCAGCCGGGGACGGAGCGGGTTGCAGGGTGGAAAAAGCTGCCGCCTGTCCTTAGGGGAAGCCCTGTGAGTGCCCCTTCCCCGGGGATGGCTCCCTTTGGACTCCTCTGGGGAAGCATCCTCGGATAACCCCGGGAGGTGGCAGCGCCTTTCGTGCCTTAGAAACTTTGCAACGGGCTGGGTCTTCCTCTCCCATTTCTTCTTGTCTGAAGCTGCAGCCCCATGCATCCTTCCTCGAGCGTAAGCGCCTTTGACCCCAGGCGGGCAAAGACTGGCAGGACCACGCTCTTGGCCAACCTTCGCTTTTGTCCCTCTGGGCGTCTTTCTGTAACCCCTTGCTTTCTTTAATGCTGTGTGAGGCTTGCATTCCCTTCCCTTACATAGTCATATCCCTATATAATCCGTTCCTTTTCACTTCGACATCCACGTGCTCAAATCTGTAATCAGGAGTGGTTCCCCCACTTTTCCCTGTTTCTGTCCTGGTTTCTTCCCCCTCCCCTTTTAATACCATTTTTCACATCTCCTGGTTAGAATTTTTAAATAGCAGTTGCTAATGTGAAGGCCATTTTTACCAATACTGTATGTCTCTTCTCTTTTTTCCTTTTTCTTCTCATATATTACTCTGTGCTACCACAGCGGCTGTTCCATTTGCTTTTTGTCTTTCTCGGCAGTCGGTGGATATGTAAAAAAACCAAGTTTCAGTAGCAGAACCTTTTCTTTTATGAAGGTTGTCTGGAAGGCTAGAAACCAATGCTCCAAATGTGACTAAGCTAAAATAACTTCGTATTTGTTCTCTCTCAGTGAATTAAATATATTAAAACTGGAAAAATTCAAAACTGTTCTCAAAGAGCAAAGAATGCTGGCTATAATCAGTAGTCTTCTAGATTAGTGGCCTTGCTGTGCCAATGTATGGGATGTGTATAGTATAGGATTATTATGTAAGTGGATTATAATCTGTTCTGCTTCTTAAGACAGTAAATACTGAACATTATGTATACTAACTCCATGCAAAAAAGAAACAAG